GGGCAGAGGAGAGACACGTATCGATACGGCAGGTCCGTTTCGTGTCGACGCGGTGGCGACACCTGCGCGGGTGTTTAAGGTTGAACGCCGCCAGTGGCCCGGGATCGGCCGACATTGAACGATCTGCGCTATCGGAAAAGGTCCGACCCTTCAGGGTGGAACGATCCGCGCGGCGTCAGAGGCGATGCCGAAGTCGACAGGACACAAATTTGCCGTACCACTTCCCAGCAGAAAGAATCTCTGAGGATCGATGTTTCTCGTCGTTCGAGGATCGAGGCCTCATTGTTGTTTTCGGCGTCTGGAGGCCCTTCTCGGGCCCCAGCACCGTCAAACATAGATCTGAAACGATGTATTCCATGATGGTGTCCGATGGCCCATTTTGGAAAGGATTTTGGTCGGCAGGAGGGGGACTGATATGACCGATGCCGATTCCCTTTCTTCAGAAGGCACCCACGGGAGGTCTGAGGAGCATCATTGTCTGTATCTTTCCCCCTCGGTGTGTGTACATATGATCGCATCGTCTGATTTTCTGTCTTGCCACCGCCTACGCACGGCCTCTGGGACTCACAGCTCTTCCACGTGGCTTCACAAGGAGGCTTGCCTTTTTTAGCGTGGCCCGGTATTTTTTTTAACTGCTCTTTCGTCTCATCAGGGCGTCGGGGGAAAGCTGAATCTGTTTACACACATATAGGACGTAACCTATATAAGGTATCACGGTATACATGTATACATATACACACATATACATGTATATATATATGTATGTATTTATACATATTGGTGTATGTACTTGTGTGTGTGCGCCTCCTCTTACATCGTCTGTGTTTTGGGCTTGGATTCGCTAGCGCGCGTTTCTAGCCTCTGATTCCGAACCACCTCTTACGGAATGCAATTCGCCGCATTCGTATCCTATTGCGTCGCTTTCGTGGTATGGACTCAGCCGCGCGTCGGAGGAACAAGTAAGTGTGTGTGTGTGTGTGTATGTGTGTGTGTGTGTGTGTGTGTGCGTGTGCGTGTGCGCGTGTGTGTGCGTATGTGTGTGTGCGTATGTGTGTGTGTGTGTGTGTGTGCGTGTGTGTGTGTGTGTGTGTGTGTGTGTGTGTGTGTGTGTGTGTGTGTGTGTGTGTGTGTGTGTGTGTGTGTGTGTGTGTGTGTGTGTGTGTGTGTGTGTGTGTGTGTGTGTGTGTGTGTGTGTGTGTGTGTCGTGTGCGCGCGTGTGTGTGCGCGTGTGTGTGTGTGTGTGTGTGTGTGTGTTCGCGCGCTCGTGGCTCAAGGCAGTTTTTTGCACACGGCGGTCTGGGCTCACCGCTCGCCTTTCATCCACAGTGCTAGGTGAAATTAGCTATTGTGCATCCCATTCTGGCCTTCGCGACAGTGGTATCACTTCGCCGTCAGAGGAACAATCTGTGAGCGCCGTGTGCGCTGGCAGTGTCACTTTGCGGCTAGCAAAGAGGAGCTGGGGTAAGGGAAGCTGCCTTTCCTGGGACGGCGCCCGCTCAGGTCACGGTCAGAAGTCTTGCCACGAGGAACCGTGGGGTAAGGAACAGATAGTTGTTTTGCCTCGGTTGCGCCCAGATGCACGAAGACCACCAGAGCAAAACCCGTGGAGCGGTTGACAGAAGCAGCTTTGCAGCAGCAGCGCCTGAGCCATGCGTATAGAAACTGGTTTTCCTCTCCACTCCCTGGCCTTGACACGGGAATGTGTTGCGCGCGAAATGTTGGTTCCAAATTTTCATGGTACTGCTTGCCTTATGGGGCCATCTGCTCCATATTGTGGCCAGGTGTGTGTGTGTGTGTGTGCTGGTTGCTTCCCTGGGTTTTCCTGCCTCCGGTGTGTCGCCTGGTGGTGTCGTCCCCCCCTCTTCTCCCGCCATCGTGCGTCGCTCCTCCGCTCCCTCCTTTGCTCGTACCTCGGGCTGTCGCCTGGGGCTCGTCCTCCCCCGTCGTCGTCGGGTTGTTCTCTGTCGGTCCCTGCTCCTCCCTCCCACGGGTCCGGGTTCGTCCTGGCTCCGGGTGTCGTTCCCTCCTCCTCCTCTTCCTCCTCCGCCTCCTCCTCCTCCTCCTCCTCCACATCTTCCTCATCCTCCTCCTTCTGTCTCCTGATGCCGTGCCGCTCCCCCGGGTCGTGCACTGGTGTGCGGGCACGCTGTTCTTGGTGCTGGGGAGACCGCTGCAGGTGCCGTCAGCACACCCGCCAGTCGTCCTTGTTGGGCCATTTGCAGTCGGGCATCCTTACCGCAGCTGTGCTGTCTACTGTCCGTCCTCGTCGTTCCTTGCATGCGATCTCAACGTCCACGTGCACGGCCTCTGGCGTCTCTTTATCTTTATTTGCAACTGACAACCGCTCGCTGGTCTGGCCTCCCATCGGCACACTCGGGGGTAATTCATACTCGAGCGTGTCCCGCGTATACCCTCGCTGCGTTGGACCAGCCGGCCGCGACGTAAAACGTGTACCGTGTGCGAGTGTGTGTGTGTGTGTGTGCGAGTGTGCGCGTGTGTGTGTGTGTGTGTGTGTGTGTGTGTGCGTGTGGGTGGGGGGTTAGGCAGGGTGGTTCCTTATCACCAGCTGCAGCGGTTTCCAATGCGGCAGAGACACCCGAGGAACCTCGAGCCCTTGCGGAAGCCAGCACGGGCCCCGTCCATTTTTTGTTTTGTTTCGTTTGTTTTTCCAGCACCCTGTCGGAGGCGCGCCGGGCCTCTCGAAGCAGCCCCTCGGCCTCGGAGAAGGCCGCCCCGCGCGGCCCCGGGGGGGTGGGGGGAGGGGGGAGGGCTTCTTAGAAGTACACCTTAGGCGATGCTTAAGAAAACCTACGTTTTCGGCCAGGGTCTCGATTATTCTTAATGTTTCAACGTAAATCCCAAGATTTTAATAGAAATGTTGGGTTTTTATTCAAGTTCTGAGACTATGAATTTCTTAACCCATGATTTCTTAAGCATTTCGCAGGGTGTACCCCTGCTTCTAAGAAGCCCTCCCCCCTCCCCCCACCCCCTTGTGCGCCCCGCGCGGCCCGATGCTTTCGGTGGCGCAGTCCGTGGGTCGTGCCGCGGCGGAGGCGATGCGGCCCGGGCCCCCTGTGCCGACGCGGGCCCGAGGCGACGCCCGGGTTTCGAGCCGATGCCTATCCAGCGGTGCGGTGTTGGCTCCTCCTCCTCCTCCTCCTCCTCCTCCTCCTCCTGCTCCAGCTGGGTAGTCGAAGGCCAGACTGTCAGACTGGATATTGGGCCCCGAGGGCCAATCTGGCCCGGCCAAGCTGGATGATTTGGGTTATTCGCCAGACTGGATTCGCGCTGGCTCCCTCGCCAGATTGCCCCCGTGTGCCAGATTGGGCCTGCCAGATTGGCGCCAGATTGGCTTCGACTACCCAGTCCATGCTGTCCTGCGGTGCGGCGCTGGCTGCTCCAGCCCTCCGTCCCGCCAGGTCCTGGCAGGCAGGCTCCAAGGGAGGCGTCGCTGGCGGTTGGGGAGGGGGGGATTCTCTGGAGTACTGCGGCATGGGGTGCCCATTTTAGGAGTGCTGGGTCCCCTCTCGCTGTGTAGTGCGTTTGGAGAGGGTGTTGTGGGGGGAGGCAGGCCATCCATCACTCCCTCCCGCGCCACTACCCTCTCCACTGATGCTGTCTCCCCTGCTTCCTATTTCATCTTTCCTCTGAATTTCCTGCCCCAGATGCAGGGAAGATGCATCTCCACCTCCATGTCCCGCCAGTGCTCGCAATTCAGGGGTCCCTGGGTGGTGTGACCGGGTGCGTGTGTGTGTGTGTGTGTGTGTGTGTGTGTGTGTGTGTGTGTGTGTGTATGTGTGTGTGTGGGTATGTGTGTCTTCGTTGGCAATTTCGTGTAGCAGACTCAGTGTCGTGTACACGGCATGTGGTACTCACGCCGTCGATGATGTTGGTCCCATTGACGCTTTACCGATTGATCGCCAGGGAGTGCAATTACAGACTGATTGCCATGTGCGTCGAAGGGGAAGCGGGGTAGTTCTTTGGATGAATGGCCATTTCTCCGGCTGAGATATGGGACTTTTCTAGGTGCAATATTCATTTTATGGGTTCGAGTTTGGGATACCTTGAGTGCGGTAGAAGTTTCCCGGTGGGACGCTTCTCTTCTTCCCATGCTCTTCCAGATCTTTTCCAGGCGGATGGGGACGAGGGAGAGAAGGTGGATGAGGGGAAGCGGGATGACTGGGGGTAGGAGGTGGCGGGGAGGTGGGTCGGAGGCAGGGAGGGGAGGGGAAAGGTGGACAAGGGGTAGCAGCTCGGTGAGAGGCCTCCTATTCGTCGTCGTGCTCCTCTTCGGTCGGCGAATGAGCTGGGACGGGTGAGGGGTCGATCCCCGAGGAAGCTCCACCGAGGACCCCAGAGGCAGCGCCCGCATGCGTTGCCCACACCAAATACACCGTTTCGTGGCCCCATGGGGAGCTCCACCGAAGGCCCCAGAGGCCGCGGCCGCATGCGTTTCCCACACCAAGCACAACATTTCGTGGCCCCATGGAGAGCTCCACCGAAGACACCATTGGCCGCGGCCGCACACGTCTCCCCAATCCATGCGGCACACCTCCTAACACGTCTCGTGGTCTCATGAGGAGCTCCACCGGAAGCGGTACCCACAGCGCGGCTCTGGCAGCTGCAGATGGTTGGGTCCTTCGTCTGGATAAGCTGTGTCTTCGGGGAAGGCTTAGGACACCTCTCGGAGGGCGGGGGGACTTCCGAGCCTTCCGAGAAGACCCGCCTCTTCTCTCCGAACAGTGGGAAACAGACCCCGGCCCCCACAACAGTAGATTTTATATGTCAACGTTTTGCCATTATGGCGAATGCGTAGGTGTAGGCGCCCTGTAAGCGAGGTCCTTGCCAGCTGCGGCAGGGATGGGGCCCGCGCGCGGTCTAGTTGGTCCAGAGCTCCTCGTGTGGGCGGTTTTCATGCGTTCGCTCACTTCGCCCCCGGACTGGCCGCCGACACGTGGGGCCCCGCCTGCCTCCTCGCGGCGCGAGGGCCGCCCCTCCAGGACCAGCTCTTCCCGGCGCTCGAGAGGCTTCCAGGGGGCGTGAGGGCGCGCGCGCGCTCGCCGCCTGCTGTGCTCACGGACGCAGCGTGCGCGGGGCGATCGCGAGTTTGCGGCGCGAGCGGGGGGTGGCAGGGAGGGAGGAGGCAGGAGGAGGAGGAGGACGATAGAGGAGGGAGGATAGGGGGAGGAGGGTGGAGGGAGAGGGGAGAGGAGGGAGGCGGGAGGAGTGAGGATGAGAGAGGAGGGATGAGGGAGGAGGAACGATGATGATGATGCTGTTGCTGATGATGATGAGGATGATGCTGATGCTGATGCTGATGCTGCTGCTGCTGGTGATGGTGATGATGATGATGATGATGATGATGATGATGATGATGATGATGATGATGATGATGATGATGATGATGATGATGATGATGATGATGATGACTATGATGATGATGATGATGATGATGATGATGATGATGATGATGATGATGATGATGAGTAGGATAATGGGGATGAGGATGATAATGAGGATGATGATGCTGATGATGATGAGGATGAGGACGAAGAAGAAGAGGAAGAAGAGGATGAGGATGATGATGAGGATGAGGAACAGGATGGTGATGATGCTGCTGCTGATGATGCTGAGTCTGATAATGAGGATGAGGATGATGATGCTGATGATGATGATGTTAGTGCTGATGATGATGCTGCTCATGATGATAATGAGGATGCTGCTGCTGCTGATGATGATGATGATGATGATGATGCGGATGATGATGCTGATGATGATGAGGAGGACGCGCGGTAGAATGATAGTGATGATAACGAGGATGATGATCATAATGCTGATGATGTTGCTGCTGCTGCTGCTGATGATGATGATGATGATGATGAGGTTGAGGATCACGATGAGGATGAGGAGGAAGATGATGAGGATTAAAATCAGGATGATGATGCTGATGATGATGCTGCTGATGAGGACGCTGCTGATGACGGTGATGAGGATGATGATGCTGATGATGATGATGATGATGCTGCTGATGATGATGATGATGATGATGATGATGATGAGTAGGATAAGGAGGATGTGGATGATAATGAGGTTGATGATGATGCTGACGATAATGCTGATGATGATATTTGTGATGCTGCTGCTAATGATGATGATGCAGATGCTGATGCTGATGCTGCTGATGATGATGATGCAGATGCTGCTGGTGATGATGATGCTGATGATGATGATGATGCAGACGATGATGAGGATGAGGACGAGAATGAGGAAGAAGAGGATGAAGATGATGATGATGCTGCTGCTGATGCTGATGATGCTGATTAGGAGAATGATAATGAGGACGAGGATGAGGATGCTGATGATGATGATGCTGAAGATGAGGATGATGAGGAGGAAGAGAATGATGATGAGGATGATGCTGATGCTGATAATGATACTGCTGATGAGGATGACGATGATGATGATGCTGATGATGATGGTGAGGATGATTACGGTGATGACGATGCAGATTATGTGGATGAGGATGATGATGCTGATGATGATGCTGACGATGATGATTATGACGATGATTATGATGATGATGGTGATGATGATGATGATGATGATGATGATGATGGTGATGGTGATGGTGATGATGATGATGATGATGATGATGATGATGATGATGATGATGATGATGGTTAGGATCATGAGGATGAGGATGATACTGATGATGCTGATGATGCTGATGATGAGGCTGATGATGATAATGATGCCGATGATGAGGATGAGGACGATGATGAGGATGAGTATGCAGAGGAAGAGGATACGGATGAGGATCATGATGATGCTGCTGCTGATGATGATGCTGATGATGCTGATGATGCTGATGATGGTACTGAGGATGAGAATGGTAATGATGATGCTGCTGATGCTGCTGCTGATGATGATGATGATGATGATGATGAGGATGATGATAAGGATGAGGAGGATGAGGATGATGATGTGGATGGTAATGAGGATGAAGGGTGAGGACGAGGATGAGGATGATGAGGATGATGAGGATGCTGCTGCTGCTGATGCTGATGATGATGCTGCAAATGCTGATACTGAGGATGATGATGATGCTGCTGATGATAATGATGCTGATAATGGTGATGACCATCAGGAGGATGAGTAGGATGATGCGGATGCTGATGATAATCCTGATGCTGATGCTGATGCTCATGCTGATGATGCTGCTGCTGATGATGAAGCTTCTGCTGGTGCTGATGATGATGATGATGATGATGATGATGATGCTAATGACGATGATGAGCTGCTGATGATGCTGATGATGATGCTGCTGATGATGATCATGATGATGCTGATGCTGATGCTGATGCTGATGCTGATGCTGATGATGATGGTGGTGGTGGTGGTGATGATGATGATGATGATGATGATGATGATGATGATGATGATGATGATGATGATGATGATGATGATGATGATGATGAGGAGGAGGAGGAGGAGGAGGAGGAGGAGGAGGAGGAGGAGGAGTTGGTGGAGGAGGAGGAGGAGGACGAAGAGGAGGTGGAGGACGAGGAGGAGGACGAGGAGGAGGATGAGCGTGAGGAGGAGGAGGAGGAGGAGGAGGACGAGGAGGAGGAGGAGGAGGAGGAGGACGAGGAAGAGGAGGAGGAGGAGGAGCAGGAGCAGGAGCACGAGCACGAGCAGGAGGAGGGGAAGAGAACCAGAGTAAGCCAAAAATGTGCCAGCGACGCTGCAATGGACCCTCCCGTCCCAAGCCCCCCCCTGATTCGTCCCTAGCAGTGTGAGTTTGACTTTCCTGCGCGACGCGCTCCCGCCTAGAATTCAGGCTGGAGCTCCGTGTTGAAAGAGAAGACGCCCTCCAGCCTTCGAGCTCTACGTTCAAGAGAGTGTTTCTGTTAAACCCTCTGGGCCATGACGCGCGTTGTGCCTCCTACCCCCTACCGTCCCTCTTGGGCTGTGCCATTCATTATTTGCGCACCCCCCCGGCTGTCGAGGTCGTGCACCTTGCTTTCGAGAAGAGCCGAACCGAACCGAACCCTCCCTCTCACCTCGCCCTCCCCCCCCCCCGCATAGCGTAACGCTCCCCCCTCGGTGCATCCCTGGCACTTCCGCAGTTCGTCCGGCGCCACAGTCTAAGGGGGGGGCGCCGCGTTATGCCCCCTCCCGTCCCCCCTCCTCCCCCCATAACGCCTGTTATGGCCGCGATTAAAACATACGTTCCAAGGACGTGCGCAGCTACAGCCCAGTTTAACAAAGGAGCCGTCCAGCATCCGTGTCACTGTTGTTCGCTTTTTCAAAACATGGGCATCATTCGAACGAATTCTCAGGCGGTGCCCCATATATAAAGGGTGTCGCCCTCAATCAGTGGTTCAATTGTCTTATCTGTGCTGAAAACAGACTATGCGACAACCGAAACTTAAGCGCGTGCTGGCCTCCGTCCGTGTAGCTGCTGGACGTTGCGACGACGAGCGTGCGCGACGCAAGTATGGCGAGAGACACAGATTGAAAACAACTGACCCGAGCTCGGTCGCGATGGTGCTGCAGGTCCGAGTCACAGCTCGGGGGTGGGGGTCTTTGTCGCCAGCGGAAGCAGTGCTGCAGCCTTGCGGACTAGCAGCCTCGCCCGGCCAGGACCCCGGGGCCAGCAGCGGTGGATCCGAGACAGAGGGCTGTCACCGTGCAAGGGGTCGAGAGCTCTTGGTGCGCGCTGGTCGAGCACAGAGGGTCCGTCGGAGGGCCGGGCCCGTCCCCGTCCGTTGTTTTCCTTGGGCTCCCCTCTCTGGACGGCAGGACAGTCGCAAGCCGTCGGAGCATGCCGACAGACGGCGTGCTTCCGAACTGTATAGGTCTGCTCGCTGTGCAGCCGACGCGCAGAAAAGGCCACGGAGTGCTGAGACGGATGCGGCAGGCGCCTGAAAAAGATCCGCACGGTTGCGTTGAAAGTGCTACGCTCAACAAGCAAAGCCTGTACGAATGGACGCACCAGTTATTGCGTGAATCCCGGGTCCTGGCCACATGGGGGTGGCGGCAGAAACTTCTTTCTTCTTTTAGACTCTTCTTGCCACTTCTCCGCCGGCTGGGGTGTCGAGGGGTGACGAAAATTGAACGGGGAGATGGAGGAGGAGGAGGAGGAGGAGGAGGAGGAGGAGGAGGAGGGAGATGAGGAGGAGGAGGAGGAGGAGGAGGAGGAGGAAGAAGAGGAGGAGGAGGAGGAGGAGGAGGAGGGGAGGGGGGGAGGAGGAGGGGAGGAGGAGGAGGAGGAGGAGGACGAGGAGGACTGAGGAGGAGGAGAGGAGCAGGAGAGGGAGGAGAGTGGGAGAGGAGGAGGAGCAGGAGGAGGAGGAGGAGGAGGAGGAGGAAGAGGAGGAGGAGGAGGAGGAAGAGGAGGAGGAGGAGGAGGAGGAGGAGGAGAGGAGGAGGAGGACGAGGCGAGGAGGAGCGGGAAGAGGAGGTGAGGAGAAAGGGGAGGCGAAGGAGGAGGAGGAGCAGCAGGAGCATAAAAGGATAATGCAGGAGGTGGATGAGGAGGAAGAGGAGGAGGGGGAGGAGGCGGAGGAGGAGGAGGAAAAGGATGATGATGATGATGATGATGATGATGATGATGATGATGATGATGATGATGATGATGATGATGATGATGATGATGATGATGATGATGATGATGATGCTATTGCTGCTGATGATGATGATGATGATGATGATGATGATGATGATGAGGAGGAGGAGGAGGAGGAGGAGGAGGAGGAGGAAAAGGTCGAGGAGGGACAGGAGCAGGAGCATGAGGAGGAGGAGGAAGAGGAGGAGGAGACGGCGGAGGAGGAGGCCTGATGATAGGAATACTAGTAGGAATAATATTTTTATGTACGACTAATAGGCATGATAAGGCATACATGCCGAATGATATCAATATTACTGATACTACGAATGCCGACTGTTACTAATACCGCTATGAGTACTACCACTGATACCAATCATTCCACTAATGTGAAGACTATAAGTACTACTAATAGTTATACCAAATCTACTAATCATAGTAAGCAACCCATAGTACCACTACAACGAATATTACTACTATTAGTAATAATAAATACACTATGCGTATTGCTAGCAATACGAATGCGAACCACAATAATGTTGATACTCTTAGTATTAACCAACTGATGTACCAAAACTAAGAAGAAGACTGCAACGAGGAGGAGGAGGAGGAGGAGGAGGAGGAGGAGGAGGGGGATGAGGACAAGCTAGGTGCGCTCGCGTCATATCTGACGTCCTACCCCTCCCTCCCATCCCTTACCATGGCGCTGATTTTCTCTATATCCGCGGACGCGTGTCGTAGCGGACCTGTGGCTCCGCGCGCGCGCGTGCGTAGTGGGTGGTGGTGCGCGTGCGTGCGTGCGTGTGTGCGTGGTTGTGGTTATGGTTATGGTTGTGGTGGTGGTGGTGGTGGTGGTGGTGTTGGTGGTGGGGGTGGTGGTG